TAGGGGAGGGGGTGCAGAGACTCTGAGCCAGGGGAGGGAGGGCCACCCCGGGGAGCTGGGCGCGGGGCAGGGGGTCTGCCCTAGGACTTGAGCACGTGATGAGACACTCTGGTGAATGTGCCACTCGCCTGGCCTGGTGCCGGCTCCAGTGCCCTTCCTGCCTCCCCGCCTTGTCCCCTGCAGCCGTGCACCGTGGGTGTTGTGTTCTGCCAACCTCCCCGCCCTGCCCGCCTCCCAGTGCTGCTGCTGCTCGTGAGGGGGCCACGGGCCTGGGGCCTCCATCCGGAGCCTCAGCCTTCGCTTCCCAGGCCTTTCCGGGGAGGGGGGGGAAGCGGGCAGGGAGCAGAACAGAAGCAACTTGGCCCAGAAATCTGGGTGCGTGGGGGGCTCTGCTCTGAGTGCAGGTGACAGATCCTAGGACGGGGTGCGCTGCGGTCCCATCCAGGCAGGTGGGCCCCCCGGCCTAGGGTTCTCCGACCCAGCTGCGGTCACTGATTCGTTACCGCAGAAGCTAGTTAAGAGGAGTCGCTACCAACAACTACCCCACGCTGTTGCTAAGCTCCCTGAGCTCCCCCCCCCAGTCTTTGCTACTGGGCTCCTGACCTCTGGAGGGTAGGCTGAGGGTGGGGGCTGGGAAGGAAGGGCTTGGCTGGCCTGTCGCCATGCTGGCCCTCCCCAGCACTGCCTGGGTCTGGGCTGAGGAGAGAGCTTCTCTGGACCCCCTGGGCCTGGCTCTTGGCTTCCCAAAGGCAGAGGGGATGGGGTGCTGTCGCATTGGCCGCCCTGCTTCCCTGGCCTCTGCTCAGTGCTGTGCGCTCCCCCGAGTGCCTCCTGTAGCCTCCAGCCAGCGTCTGGTCTGGGTTCTGGGAGCCTGAAGCCACATTGCCGAGGCCCTCAGGAAGTCAGAATCCAGGGGCTGGGCCAAATGCCCAGGCCCCTTCCCTGATGCCCTCGGGGGAGGGGGGGCCTGTAGAGCAGGGAGGAGGGCTGCTACTTCTGCCCCAACTAGTCTGTCTCTGGCATCATCTCTGTCTTTCCCCTGAACATCCACTTTTCTTCTCCAGTGGGCTCTTCTGAGTGTGCCACAACCTTCCTCTCAGGAAGGTCCTTCGTTGGATCTAGGGCAGGGCTGAGCTTGGGGTGGGGGGGGAGCGAGGGGGCCTGTGTGCAGGGCCTGCTGCTTTCCCTGCCTCTGCCGACTGCTTTGGCTTCTCTTTTTATGTGGGTATTTATTACAAGTGGCCTTGTGTCAGACACACACTCAGTTGTACACACATGCACACTCGCCTCCCCACCTGGACACACACAGTGGCCAGTGGCCTTTCGATGTGGGGAGGGGAAGCCAGTGTCCCCAGGTGTGACCTTTGCTTTGATGGGCAGGGGGAGGGACGTGCAGGATACTGAGGAGGCTCGCAAAGGTCTTGAACAGATTTGGACACCTCAGAACTCTCAGTTCTTTCCTTGTCCTGGAGACCTCCTTGGGGCCTGTTCTCCTCAGTCTCACCTGGGGTGGGGAAAGGGAAGGCCTCTGGTCATCTAGAGGCCCCCAGGAGGGAGCCTCACACCCACCCCACCAGCTTGCTACCTTCCTGCCCCTGCAGCCACCACCCGCCACCCTGGTTCTTGGGGAAACCAGCTTCTGCTCTTCCCCGAGAGATTACAACTGAGGGAGCCGGATGGGCCTGGTGCCCAGGGAACAGTCACAGAAGCATTGGGGAACCTGCCCTTTCCGGCTCTGTTCACCTCCCTGCATTCTGAGGCCATTCCGGAGTTGAAAGCGTGTCAGCCAGGGGCCTCTCGGGCCTGCACAGATACCTCATCCGCCCGCTCACCGCCCCTGCCCCTCCCCACCCCAGCAGTGGGGGCCTTCGAATCTAGTGCCGAATGACTATGTCCAGATTGGTGACGATGGGTGTTGTTGCTGTTGTTTTTGTTGTTGTTTGTGAACGCTGTGATGCTGTGTGCCCGAGAGGGCAGCCGCCGCCCAGCCCTCCCTTGGGCATCTATCTCCCCTCTGAGAGCTGTCAGGACCACGTCTGTCCTCACCCTGTGGGACCGCCTGCCCCTCCCCCTCCCTAGCCCTTCCAGCCTGGGGGACGCGTGCGTGCACACACACATACACACACACACCTTACCTCTCATGCGTGTTTTACTTTTTGATGTTAAGAGTGGCTCACTGGCTGGGAGCCTTTACCTCGGGGAGAGGGGGAGGTTGGTTCCTTGGGGGGCCAAAGAAGGGCAGGGAGTGCCTGGAGGGGAATGAGGGGTCATCATAACCCCTGCTCTCCAGGAACAGCTTCTCCCCCATCCCAGGGTTCCATCCCCATCCCCCAAAGAGGTGGCCCTTGTTTACAGTGAGGACTCGGTCACTGTGTCTCCGTTTCCTGAAATACAAACTGTAGCGACCCCAGACTGTAGAGATTTTTATGTGTTTGGATACATCTGCTGTGTGGGAAAAACAAAACAAAACCCTACAAAAACCCTAATTTTGTACATATTGTATTTTTACTATTGAACTGTATTCTAGTGGCTGTTCATGCTCCAAGACTTTAGGTATTGAGACATGAATACTATCCATGTAATAAGCACTTGCCTGGAATAAAATATAAAACTGAAATAAACCTGCACTGAAATCAGATGGAGCCGCCAGGCTGCAGCATCCGGGTCACTCTGTTGCAACAGGAGGCCTCCACCTCTCAGGAAGGACCTCCAGCAAGAAGCGTCGGGGGCCTTGCCTCGTTGTCCTTTGAGGGGCGCAGGTTCCTCCAGCAGCTTTGGTGCTGGTCAGTTTTAGAAGATTCGGGACCTTCTGGTTCTGATGCCAATGTTCAATCCTAAACAAGCTCTGAACTGCAGTTCTGGTCTTCCTTATGCTTTTGTAATACTTTCTACTTCCTCAAACCATTTTTACAAACACTATCTTGTTTCATCTCTTAACAGCATGGTGGAGTACATAAGCCAAGAACTAGCCCTGTTCTGGCAGGTAAGGAAACAGGTTTGAGGTGGCCAAGTGACTTGTATGCTCACACAGGTAGCCTGGGAGCCTGGGGAGCTGCAGTCAGATCTGACAACTCCGGCAGTTCCCAGCGTGTGCCACTCAGCCCTGGGGCCTGCCGCAGAGCTGGGGATCCTGAACTTGAGAAAGTTCCAATAGGAAAGGTGGGGGGACCGCCCTGGATCGGTGCACAGAACGGGGAGAGGCTTCTTGAGAGGGGATGTGCTTCTGAGGTGGTAAGTCAGGCCAGGTCATCTGGGGAGTCCATGAGGGAAAGGAACAAGAAGAGGAAGAAGTCGGAGGGCAGGATTCAAAGAACCATGTTCTAAGATGGGCCTGGAAGACCCTTGTCCTTATAACTACATCTCTCCCAGTTTAGGGGAAATCAGCCCTTTGCAGGCTGTCTCAGGAGGAAGTGGGGAGGGTGAGGAAGAGGCTTAGCTATAGACCAGGCCGGCTGCCTTGTCCAACGCCCTGACCACACCTTCCCCACTCCCAGCCCCAGCCAGAGGAATGGACTCGGCTTCTCTTCCTGGGAGGGATTATCCTTAGGGAAGGACGTGGTGGCCACGAATGTCTTGGGGTCCCCTTCTCTGAGGAAAACGCTAACCTCAGACCCAGTGCCCCTCCTCTGCCAGCCCCTTCACTTGTGAGATGCTGGCTCCCTCTGCTGGCAGCTCCAGGAAGAGCAGAGTCCTTTGGCCTTAGGGAAGGCCTATGGTTAGGAGTCTTGGCTACTGTCTGGCCCTGGGGCCAAGGATGAAGCCTCTGCCCCTGACAGTGCTGACCCAGTATCACCTGAGGGCTATTGCTAGCTCTTAAGGGTAGGCAGAAACTCCCCCAGCCCAGCTGGAGCCTGCCAGAGAGGGGTCCGTGATCAGAGTAACGAAAGTCCTGAGTAGGAATCCAGGTGCCTCCGTTTAGCAGCTCTGTGCAAGAGGGGCTTCCAGGGTTGGAGGGTCCCCGGGGGGGGTGTTCCTATTTGCACTTTGTGCTCTCCTTAATTTGCCTGTGGCGTTGCCCTCAGCAGACCCATCACTGTGGCTGCAGGATTCCCTCCGGTCCTGGAAGTCCAGCCGAGGGGGTAAGGAGTGCCGACGCTTGTGGGCAGAGAGGGAGCAGGGGGGAGTGTGTAGAGGAGCCGGGCCACTGCCAGGCTAGTTTAGCAGGGGCCTTGGTGAACTTCTTTCAGGTGGAGTGACAGCACAGGAAATTCTGATTGTTCTAGGCAACAGGATAGGGGCGGGGGGGTTGCCTTGAGGAGCTTGTAAGGTTCCCTGGACCCAGATTTTCCCGTGTCAACCAGTTCTGTTACTTGGCAGCTCTGAGTTGCCCTAATGCACAGAAAGCCCGTGTCTAGACCAGACCACATGCTGATGCTGGGGGCTGTGGCTGGAGGGCGCTCCACCTGGAGCCACTGACGATGGGGGCCGTAGTCCTCTGGGGTGGGGGATGGCAGGTGGGAACCTGCTATTATGGCTGGGCCCTTTCCATGCCTCAGCTGCTTTGATCCCTCCTGACAGTCTCCTCATGCCCCAGCCTGAAGCAGGCAGCTCGGAGTGCTCCGTGGGCAGGAACCAGAGCCAGAGGGGCAGGGTTCTTCCCCACTGGCTGGAGGGCCCAGGAGGCTCCTACAGATTCCCATTCAAGCACCAGCTCATCACTGTAGCTGGTCAAGAGGGCAGGCAGGTTGGGGAAGGGGTGGGACAGGGACCTAGGTCCAGAGGCCGCAGGTCATTGGTCGGTCTGGGACAGGACCCCTGGCTCTGAGGTGAGCCCCCCCCCCCCCGCACCGAGTACTCGGGGTCTGGCTGTCACACCTGCCCCTGACCAACCCACAGCGGAGGTCCCTCTCTCCTGGAAACTTTGGTTCTCTGTTTTCACCAACCTTGTCTTGTGGGGCTGGCCCTCCTTACAGCTCAATTGTGGAACTTCTAGAATTTCCCAATACACAAAGTCACTCCCTGTCCAGTGCCAGCCCACAAGCAGCCCCCAGAGCCTCAGGCATTGCCAAATGCTGGGTTTATTGGTCTGTTAACACCGAAGAGTATAGTTTCTGAGCCAAAAAACATACACACTCTGCTTCTCACAAAACCACTGAATCACTAAGGCAGGCACACAATGGCCGCCATGCTTGGTGGCAGCCAAGGACTCACCGACAACAGGGGTAGGCAATGGGGCGGCTGGCCCCCAGACCGGCTGTGCAGTGCCCAGGACAGGGGTGGGCTGGGGAGACTGTGCTGGATGCAGAAGGGCCGCGGGGCCCTTTCCCTGCTTCTCAAATGCAGGAAGTCTCTAGACCGAAGGGACTTTGCTGGACAGGCCCTGGCCCCTGTGGCAGAGTGGCCTCCTCGCCCCAGGGCAAAGCCCTAGCCTCAAGTGTTTAGGGGTGGAGGGGACGTGGGGACGGCAGAGCAAGCAGCGTGCCTAGGAGCTAGGCCCTTCTCAGCACCCCTGGGTGAGGCTCCTCCAAGGGCACTTCCGGGTCTCGCGGCCTCTCCGCACCCTCAGCAGCACGCAGCCGGCAGAGCTAGCCTTGCTTCTCACCAGGGACAAACAAGGGAGACCCAGGCATCCTCCCCTGCCCCCAGACCCAGGGACTTAGCAGGTGCCTGAGATGGGCGCCGGGCCTGTCCCTGAGAGGAGGCTATGAGAGGATATCCCCCCTTAAGAGCCACCCTGGGATTCCTCTGCAGAGGGAAATGCCCCCACCGCATTCCAGATCACCCGGCGGGCAAAAGCGTCACTTACACAGTTGTCAGGGAAGGGACTAATACGTAAAGCGAGAGCCAGGCGGTGAGAGGGGACCCGGGCAGGTGCACGTGGGCGCCCTGGGCGGGCCGGGCCAGGCTCACCGCGGCGGCCAGAGGCCGTGGCAGCGCCGCTGAGGTGGGCTGCTCCTGCACCCGTTCTGGCTGCCCCCACGGGGGCTGCGCTGGGCACAGGCACGCCGCCTGCCAAGGGACTCGAAGAAGAGGTACAGCACAGCGTCCCTTGGCCCACACGACCCGTGCCGGCTGGGGCCAGGCAGCTCCAGCCCTGTTAGCTCTCCTAGGAGAGGCCGAGGCTGCAGGCGACAGGGGGGCTATTCCCAGGTGTTGGAGAGGGGAGCAGAGTAGGTGTCCCCCAAGGCAGCCGCTCCCTGAGGCCAACCCGCCCCCTCCCTGCCCCTCCCCGGCCTGAGGCATCCAGGCCCCTGACTCGCCCCCTTCGCAGAGCCAGCACTGACCGGAGTCGGATCCCAGGCTCACAAGCACTTTTTTAGGAACTCAGGTGGGCAGGCGGGGCCGGCTGGGGGTCGGGCAGTCTCAGCAGTGCTGCCCTGCACCTCTCCCTGTGCGGCCCGGGGGACTGGAGCCCAGGCCCTAGTCGGCCGCTGCTTCCCGGCCGCAGCCCTCACTTGTTTTCTATGAGCATCTGCACCTTGTGGACGAGCTCCCGGGCAATCTGCAGGATCTCCTGGGCATCATGATGCTCAGCCCGTTCTGGGGGAAACACACAGACCCTGTGGGGTTGCTGGAGCGGGGCAGGAGTCTGGGAGAAGCCCGTGGCTGCCCACCCTACTGTTTCCACCTGCTTCCGGGGAAGGGAGCTCCTCCAACCCTGCCCAGGCCAGGAGTGGAGGCCCCCATGCCGCTGCTGGGGGCAGCCCAGATGGCCGGAGCAGCTCCTACCGTTGAAGAACTTGATGATATCGGTGAAGTCCATGTTGTTGTCCCGGATAATCTCACGGTAGGCCTCCACCAGGGCCAGGGCGATGAACAGGACAAAGTGCTCTGACGAGATGTGCCGGGCCGCCCAGATCACCTCCCACACGGCAAACACATCCTCATAGAGCAGCTCTGGGGATTGCAAGGGGCTAAGGCTGAGCCTGGCTCCCCACGGGTTTCTGGATGGAGCCAAAGGTGGAGACAGAGCTCCAGGGACCCAAGTCCTGGGATTCTCCCCATTACACACAGCCTAGTCCAAGAGGAGAGTTCCGGGCCCCAGGTCAAGACCCTGCCCTTCTCCTCGGTGACTGACTCCTTGCACACCGGGCTCGGGCCGACTTCACACCGGCATTCTTGTCAGCTGGAGCAGCTCTACTTGGACAGGCTTTGCTGCTTGAGAAGATTTGGTTTCAAAACAGTCCCCAAAACCACTGGCTTAGGGTGAATGTTGGCAGCACTTGGGAGTCACCGAAGGAGCTTTTAAAATTGTGGATGCCCAGGCAGCCAAGCTTCCTAAGCCTGGGGCTAGGTGGGGCCAAGGCGCTGGCGTTTCTAAAAGGCTCCCCAGGCGGTTCCAAAGTGCAGTTAGGGTTAGGAATCACTGACTCTGGCCGGGAGGGATCTCCCACGCCCTGACCACTAGCCCCACCATCCAACCCACACAGCTTACCTCTTTTAAAATCCAGCAAGAACCAACGGTAACAGAAGTAAAAGTGGGTGTAGTCTCCATTCTGATGCATCAGCTCGAACAGCTCTGAGTCCAGGATCTTACAGAAGTAAAGAAAGGGAGCGGGACTGAGCTGCCGCCGCCTCTCCCGGCCGCCCTTGCACTCGACTGGGCCCCTCGGCTGCACGGGCTGCCTGACATCGCTCCCAAGCCCCTCCAGTCTCCTTGGGTGGAGGCTGCGCTCTGCTGCCCCACCCGTCTCTCTGAGAGCTACTCTTTTTGGAATTGTGCCATTTTCTGGGTGTTTGATTCACTGTCAACCACACCGCTCACCAGAACTTTCATGAGCACAGTATTCACATGCTGACATTCCCCCTTGATCTGTAACATTGAAACATGGTTCTCAAATAAAAGACACTAAGCTTATATGGAGAGGGCATTGTTGGAACACTCCCTGGCCTCCTGTGGGCGATGGATGAGCCCAGTGGTGCTGGTCACGAGCCCACAGGCAGCTGCTGACCTCACCTGGATGAGGGAGCGCATGTTGGCAAAGTGGGTGTCCATGGCGCCCCCATTGGGGAAGTTCTGGCTCATCCTCTTCATGAGGTGGCTGAAACAGCTGTAGGCCAGCTGATCTGAGGGGAAACGGGAGTGAGGCTGGCAAGGCAGGTGACCCCAGGGCCTCACTTCACGGGGGGGTCCTGTGCCCAGAGGACAGGGCTGGCTTACACCCCCACCCTTCCAGACCTAGTGGGGGTCTTCTTTTCCTTTCTCCAGCTTGCGTCAGCCCAATCCCAACAGCACTGTGGGAATGCGCTCTACCGCCCGCTCCCCCACGCCCGGGCTCGGTCCCTCACCGTTGTCTAGGATGACCAGGAGAGGTGCCAGCAAGTCGCACATGCCCTGCACATAACCCACGTCCAGGTGCTCCCACACGTAGCTGAAATGTCGGTACACGGTCACTACGGGGGAATCCCTGGGGAGATCGTCCCTAGAGTAGCCTGCCACCCAGAAGTCAGCCTTTCCATGACGCTGAAATACTGGGAAGACCGTGGTCAACAGCCCACGACCTCTGTCCTCAAGGCCCTCAGGGAAAGAGACGGTGAACCGGCTGGGGCGAGGGCAATCGGCTAGGCTTCCTGGAGGAGTCTGGCTGACGCTGCGATGTGACAGACCTCGAAGAAGGAAGAGGGGTGGGGTGGGGGGCACGGCAGGGAAGGCGTTCCAGGCAGAGAGCGCCGAGTGGGATTCGGTGCGAGGGAGAGGAGCAGGGCCCCTGCCTCCCGCCCTGAACCCCGCCCCAGAGTAGCACCTGCACATGATGTCTCTGAGCCTCTCGAGGTTGGGGGGCGTGAAGTACCAGTAATTGCGGTCACAGCGCTGCACATCCTTGTCTATGCGGTGCAGATTTAAGGCCATAGTATCCAGTAATTCTATCTGAAAGAGTGGGGGGCCCTCAGGAGTGAGTGGGGGCTGGCAGGGATGCCTATATAACCAAGGGACTCTGAGAACAGAGCCCTCCGGGGATGCTGAGGGATGGGCCCAGTGCCCCCTACAGGACGGTCAGGGCGCCCCCCCACCTGCCACCCACCAGCCCCCGTCCGCAAGCCTTGGGGTGCCAGGAGGGCCTCTGGGGCTGGACAGTGCCCGGGGAACGTCCACGTACGGTGTAGGCAGCAGTGCACACGGCCACCAGCTCGGCCCCTGCCTCCAGCTCGCTGGCCCGCGAGGCCTTGTGTGGGCTGGCGTCCCGGGGCTCGGAGAAAGCGCCGGCCGCTGGGACCAGCCCGCTGGAGCCTTCCTCCCCACCGCCATCCTCCTCCTCGAAGCCCATGCTCTGCCCCTCATCTATGCTCGACTGGATGCCCGAGGTCACGGAGTAATTTCGAGAGGACGGCAGTCCCGAGTCGGGGGAGTCAAACTCCACGGACTGCTGCCGTCCTGCCACGGCGGTGCCTGGGGGCCCCGCTCCCAGCTCCTGCTCAGGCTCAGGTCTGCAATCTTCAGTGCCCGGGGGCTCTGGGGGCTCCAGGTCATCCACAGAGATAAATACCTGGTGGGGGTGAAGAGATGGTGGGGCTCACAGCCCTCCTCCAGCCCCTTCCCTCGGCTTGCTGTCTCCTTCCTGGGGTCCGAAGCAGGCCGCGTCACGGCCTCCACACTGCACCCCCACCAGCTTGCCAAGCCTCCCCTTCTGACCCACGCAGACAGCTGGAGAGCCATCAGGCTCCAGGCAAACAGGACAGCACCATCTTTAGCCCTATCCAGGCCCCCACCCCCACCCCAGCCCAGCCTCTCTCTGGGGCCAGAGAAAAAGCGGGAAGCACTCCAGGATTCCCGTGGCGGCCGCAGGGAAGGGCAACCGGAGGCTCAGACACCGGATGGCCAACGTGAGCCATGTGTAGTTCTACAAACACCCGAAGTCACAGGCTGCCTCAGGGCAGGAGAGTGGCGCACGACCGAAGGCCGCCACGAGCCCTGGTGAGGCTGCTAAGGCAGCCCGGCGGGTGGCAGCCTGGAGGTGTGAGGAGAACAAGTTCTTCCTATGTTCAGTACTGGCCGTTTAGCAGGAAAGACAGGAAACTTCTGCAGCAATTGCCTAATCAGTTACAGGAGCTTCACACACGCTCAGGAAGGGGGGTAAGAAGGGAAAGGTAACCTGTTCTAGATTTAAAACAGCCTGCCACTGTGGACAAGTCCTAGGGAAAAGAAAAGAGACACATGCAGATTGTTCTGTTTTTCTATTTGGACTACATAGGGAAAGGAACGCTAAAAGCCGTTTTCACTTTGGCAAGAAGCATGAAGCGCTGGGTTAGCATCAGGTAAGGCAGCACCGAGCCTCACGTCGGTGGCAGCAAGGAAAGCTACTGCTGCTCATGGGCTAAGCAGCGGGGGCGCTGGTATGGACTCAGGACGGCACAAAACCCAAAGCCAGAAAGAGGGAGCACGTTCACGAGTAGGGGAGTAAGAACAAGGCAGGTGGGAAGGAGCGCAAGGAATTCCCTTGGTAGTTAAGTCTTGTTCCAGCTTCAGTTCTCTGTTAGTGTAAGGATTTAGTAAAGTAACAAGAATAGACGTTATCTAGAGAGACAATTTTAAAGAAAAAAACATACAAGTTAATAAAAGAATATCCTTAAAACGGAAACTTCTTATCGTTTCTGGTTTGGCCCCGCAGCCGTGGTCTGGGACTCGCTGTTCATCTAAAGGCCAGGGTGATGCCGGAAGGACTACACAGGCTCTGAACTAGTGTATCAGTTCCACGTGGGGAGGGAGGACACCACGGTGGGAGGGGGATCCTGCCAGTAGGCGCCGACGGGGACCCTCTGAGTGCTGTCCTGGTCTCTGACCAACAAGCTCTCGGTGAAACCTCCACCGTCAGAGGATAGCAGAGCTGAGAGGGACACCAGGGCCCAGAGAAAAGAAGTCACCCATCTTACTGGCCGTGGACCTGGGACTCCAACCCTGGGCTGTCTGTTTCTAGCCTTGAGAGACCTCTCCCTGTAGGAAGGAGCGCCTCCCGAGATCCTGATACATCCTTCTTTCCCTGCTTGTCCATTAAACCAGAACACAGTGTACTATCTCATTTCATTCCTGCGACACTCAGAGATGGGGGCGGCAGGGGGGCCATCATTGGGCTTCTCAGCAGAAAATGAGACACAGACACATTAAGCCATATTCTCCCAGTGACTCCTACTAGAGTTCGGGCTGCTGCTCAGGACTCCGCTTTACTCCTATAAAACGCTGGTGGCCCCTGTCCCCGGCTCCCCCAGGTCCCGTCAGGCTCACGTCATTGCTGATGGTGGAATCTCGGTGGACGAGGCGCTGCACATGGCTGTCGATGCTGCTGCCCGAGGAGAACTTGGTGAATGGGGCCGGCTGAGCCTCCCGCTCCCGCTGCCTCACCACTGCCTCGCAGGCCTTCCACTCCGCCAGCACCCGCTTGTACCTTGCTGCCACTGCCGAGTCTGCCTGTCTCAGAGCACACCGTGACCATGGAGTGGGGGACCCCGGGGCCCAGCGGGGTGGGGCACGGTGGGGCTGCTCTGCTAATGCCTTCCTCCGCCGTTTCCTTCCGGCTGGGGCGGCGCCGGGGCTGCAGAGGCCCCTTCCTGGGGTCCCTAGGCCCAGCTCCCCAGCTCCCTGCCCCATGGGAGTACGGTCCCCTTACCTGCTCCATCTCTTTCTTGCTCATGCCAAACTTGTAGTGGCCAAGCAGAAAGGGCCAGACGTCCTTACGGATCTCATGCTCCACGCCTCCATAGTAAACTTGCCGTAGCAGCTCCAACTCCTTGTAGTTCTGAGGGACCCCGGAGGTAAAGACCATATAGCCCCCACGGTCACTGCAGCCCAGCTGGGCGACCCCATCAGCATCCCTCCCACGGAGTGCTGGGGCTGGGGACAATGATTCCGTCACTCCGCCGAAGCCCAGGCAAACCCTGCTTTGGGATGGGCACGGCCTCCCTGCCCCAGATTACAGCTGGATGAGATCCAGTTCAACCTCCTTCCCTTCCAGGATTGGCAACGGAGCCCAGAGAGATGCAGAGATTTGCCCAGAATAACGTGGACGCACACTAGAACCAGCCCAGCCCCCTTCCCATGGAAACCCACAGACCCAGCTGTCTGAGATTCTACCATGACCTGGGCCACCCCAAGGCCATCAGTCCCGACCTCTATGACATTCTACTTGAATGCCCATCTGGTGTAGGAGAGCTGCTCCGGGGGCAGGCTGCCCCTTACTCGCTGCTGCTCCCCCGCGTCCCACCAGCCCCTTGACCCAGCCTCCGGCCCTGGCTCCCCAGAGTGTGCACCTTTTCGTCCTTCTGATACTTGCTCCACACGTCCTTGGTGAGGCCCCCTGAGGCCCCCGGGGGCCGGGCAGGAGGGATGATGTGGTGACGCACCAGTGCTGACAGATGGGTCCGCACCGTGGACAGGTGGCGGCAGTAGGCCAGCCCTGTGGGGGGGGGGAGCCAGGACCCACAGCAATGGTACCTCCCCCAGCTCCCACCCCTCTCGGCCCCACCCCACCCTACACTCACAGCCATAGAAGGCCCGGGCCACAATCTGCCTCTTCATGCTCTCACACAGCAACCTGAGGGGCAACCTGTGGAAATAACCTGGCTCAGAGGGGAGGGGCTACGGCCCCTCTGGTGGGAGGAGGTTGAGAGAGAAGGACATTCTGGCCTGGGGGCAGGTAAGGTGCTCGGGCGGTGTGAGCAGGATCCACAGCCCCGCAGCACCTCTGCGGGCTCCCTGTGTCTGTCAGTCACCCTGAGGAGACCTGCTGGGGACCTAACCCGGCCCCCAACCACCCAAGGGACTTTGGGCAACTAACTTCACTTCGTGTTAGTGAACCTTGGTTTCCTCATGTGAAAATGGAGAGAACCATCTCAGGGTCACGAGGAGTAGCAGGCCAAAAATGAAGTTAAGAGGTAAAAGAGAAGAGCCCTGGCATCAGGCGCTGGCTAGGACCCTCACACCAGGGCCGTTCATACGCCATTCCTGGCACATGGCAGATGCCCAGATACCTGGTGTGTGTCCTCATATGTATAGCCTGAGGGCAGCATCCGTGTCCACACTGGGAAGGAGAGCTCCCGTGTACTGAGTACCTACTATGTGCTGGGCACAGCTCTGGGCGCTCACTGAGTCACACACCTCATTTAGTCCTCACCAGTACCTTAGGAAGCAGGTGGTATTATTCCCATTTTACAGATGAGGAAACTGAGGCTCAGAAACATAGAGGCTCACAGAGACTCAGTAACTTGTCAAAGTCACATAGGTAGCAGAAGGGAAATTGAACCCAGGTCTGTCCAACTTGAGGCCACCCTGTCAGACAAGTGCCACAGCCCCTCAGGGCAGAATGCACACAGGCAGACCCAGGCGCAGGGAGCTGGTGTTCTGGGCCCTGCCCACTCACCGGTCGGGGACACAGCTGCAGCGGCTGGGGGTGGCATATGGGGAGCTGCGGGTAGAGCAGAAGAGGCAGGAGGAGCCCTGGCTGCACAGGGACTCCAGGTGCCAGGCTGGCAGGCTGGGCCCAAAGCCCTGCATTTCGATCATGTCACCAGCATCTGAGGACAGGAAGGGGGCCATGGTCAGGGCCTGGCAGGCCTCCGCCCCACAAGCACCTGTAGCATGCCCACCTCTGTGCCCAGAGCTGCAGCATGAAGTTACCCACTGGTACCAAACCACCAAGGTGGCACCTGCCTGGTCCAGAGCCCAAAGATGGAAATGGTGGAAAGAGAGGCTGCCTGACACTTCCCACCCTCCAGCTAGTCTTTCTGCATGTGATAAAATACTTGGACTGAGTTGTGGATACTTGTGTCTGTTCTCTCCATCTTGCTATCAGCAATGGAAGGAGCACTTGCTTTTCTAGAGGGAGGAGGAAGAAAGAACAACAAAAGCCTAAGCTCTCTAAAACGCCGCCAGCTGGCTTGGCCCTCGATGGTGCAGCCTGGTCCTCCTGGACAGACTCTGAGATGGGCAGGAAGGTGCGTGGTATGCTGCAATGCTTTGAACCTCTCCACATCAGGAGTCTCCACTGTTCAACGCTCCTGAGGATCCCAGAGCCACTTGTCCCGGTCATCAGACCTTGCCCCTCTGAGGGTTCTAGACCCTGTCACAGGTTAAGGAGGAGCAGTGCTCCCCGACCCAGCCCAGGTGCCCTTCCTGCCAACTCACATGGGTTCTTCCTGAGTTCTCCACCCTCACCCTGCCTGACTGCATTTAGCATGGTGGTCTCCTCCAACCACACAGGTGAGCTGGCAGGAAGGGCAAAAGTCCCAGTGCTGTCAGGCCACTGTGGGGGCGGTGCTGGGCACCTCGCTCCCCCACCCAGAAGGAGGTGCCCGCTGCAGCCTCAGAAGATGCCTCCTCGGACACACCTACCCCACCAGTGGATGGAGCCTTCTCAGCCAGCCCAGCTGGTCTGAGTCAGAATTCGAGACCCTTGAGAGTTCCTAGGACCCAAGTGGAGCAGGACACTGCCCACAGGGGACTCTGGCAGGTCCAGTGAGTCACAAAGACGAAGCAAAGTAAGGGCAGAAAACGTAAGGACCAGGAGATGACACCAGGAGGGAAGGGGAGAGCAGAGAAGAGGGAAGAAGGAGGAATGAGAGCTGTATGTGTGAAGGAGAGGCTTTTCTCAAACAGCATTTTGTCGTACGAATCATAGCCTGGGCCCTGGCTTGCTAGGAGTCTGAAGCAGACCTGGGCCCAGTTTTTGTCAGAGCCAGACTCCAGCTCTGGATGTGCCTTGGTGGGGAGGGCTGAGCTGAGCCCCCTCCAGTCCCCTCAGGGGATGCCCTTTCTTGGCCTGAGACGCTCTTTCTCAGACCCACCGCTGGGGTTTTTGTAGGTATCTGGCCCTTCAGCTCCACCAGGAGGCAAATTAAGGGAATATACGTGGTGTGGAGGGGCTGCGGCTCTGGGAGTGAGGAGTTGCAAGCCATGCCCAAAACTGGGAAGAAGAGGGAGGGGACAAATGCAGGTGGGGTGGGGCAGGAGCCCAGCTCATGCCCCTGCAACAGGCAGGAGAGAGGCCAGTCATGGGAGGGGGGTTTGGGAACAGGCCCAGCCAGGCAGGCAGCAGGCAACAGGCGGGCAGGCGGGGGGG